ATATATATATATATATATATATATAACTTCGTTACTAATGTTTTATTGGATAGTTTCATCTTGTTTGTATCAGGCAAATGGTTCTATTTCAACCTTAACCTGTTTCTTGGCCAAAATGGTCAGTGGTTTATTGACTAGACAATAATTTTGGCCGTTTTTTAAATTTATTGTTTTATTTTTTAAAATTGGAATAGGCTGTCTGTTCAAATCAATCAGTCAAACCACTGACCCAAAAATCAGTAGCCAAAGTGTTCCAGTTCCGAGTCAATTTTTAAAACATTAAGGATAGGGCTCAAAATGATAGTCGATTAAACTAGGAGCAGATTCTATTATTGGTGATAAATTTGATCTTCTGCCTACGCTGGACTAAAATCCATTCTAAACGTGCCATGTTCAATTTAGTAGGAAAAACTAAAAAGTATCTGATCCGGTGGGAGAAATACTTATGAGCCTCCTATTAATACATATGAATTGACTGATCTGCGCCCCAAGAAAACCTCGGGTACTAAATAAAGAACAATTTTTTCTCGGTTGATCAAATAATAATAGAGGCTCAGTTTGGAAGGATACAAATACAAATACAAATAAGTATAGACAAATACATACAAAGTACAAGGTTTTATATTTGTATTTGTTCTCCTTTCAGACTGAGCGGGACTTACAAAGCAATTTCAAGGGCGTATTCATGTCATGCTGCAAAACTATCCTCCTATGAATCCTATCAGAGAGGCCAACACCACAATTAGAATTTCGAAATCAAGGTACTAACCTACTAGAATTTAGAGAAAAAAAAAAGAATAGAAGCTTTATACAATGAAAAGTTCGTTTCATAAGTTGGGTATTTGCTAAATCTGCACTTTGCTACAGGCTTAATCAGTAAATTTGAGCAGTGATCAATCTGAGCAAACAAATTTGAGCCCAAAATAAGCAGAGAGAAATGCTTGAATTGTTCTGCAATGCCTCTCAAAGCTGTCTATTTAAGCAGTTCGGCAGCCCACCAGTTTCGTTCCTCTATGAGTGCTTAAACTTGATCTCAAACCCAGATTCATTAGAATCAAGGTTCAAAGTGAATCTAAACAAAGTAAGACCCTATTTGGCAAGTCTTCTTAAAAGATCTTTTGGGCTTTTAGAAGCCCGGTAGACTAAAAATGGTGTTTTTTTTGTTTGACTACTGAAAGCCTAATAGATCAAAAGACAGATGCCAAAAAAAGATCCTAAAAAGGCCAAAATGGTCTAGATTTGAGAAGCTCCGAGCCAAGCTTTTCAATTCAGGCTTCTCAGCTTCCCGACATTTTGACAAAAATTTGACTTCGTTTGAGATTGGCTTCAGTCAGTGCAAGACCCGTTCGAACAGCCTTTACAGCGTTGCATCGGGAACATCTTCGTACTTCTATGCTTTATTTCATGGGGAGATATTCCCAAGCAAGGCTATGATGGTTGTTTGAACGGGCTTAGCACTGACTGAAGCCAATCTCGAACGAAGTTGAATTTTTGTCAAAATGTCAGGAAGCTGAGAAGTCCGAATTGAAAAGGTTGGCTCGGAGATTCTCAGATCTAGACCATTTTGGTCTTTTTAGGATCTTTTTTTTTGGCATCTGTCTTTTGATCTATTAGGCTTTCAGTAGTCAAACAAAAAAAAAGACCATTTTTAATCTATCGGGTTTCTAAAAGCCCAAAAGATCTTTTAAGAAGACTTGCCAAATAGCCCTTACTTTGTTTAGATTCACTTTGAACAGGGGGTGGACACTCTAGCAAAACAGGGGGCAAATAGATTTACCTTGTACTGGACAGAACCGTAAATGCTTTGTAGTGTTTGCAGATTGGGTTAATGCTTTCTGCAACCTATATCCATTGTATTTCAATATTTCTCCGTTATTAATAAAAAAAAAAATCTTCCTAAAAAGACTTGTCAAACGCCACCTAAATCTATGATGCTGGAAAGAACTTTGACCAATCACCCCCCCTCCCCGGGGTGAATACCAACACGTTGATTTAAGTTTTTAATATATCAAGTTTCTTAAAAATAAAATAAATCAAACTTGAATTGGAAGAAAGAATTGATAAAACGGCTTAAAAGTAAAGACTTGAAGAATGTCATTTTAATACATTGTTGTACTTAGTAATAAGACTGGCTCTTTCATTGGGTGCTGCATCTGTGTGTGTATATATAACTTTTAGCAGCGCTAATCAATAGAATAATTCAAATTCCAAATAGGCAGGTATGTATTATTTTGCAATAGTTGATATTATGGTTTGCAAAAGGCTGGCCCAGAATTTCAGGGCCTACAATGCCATTTAACCACAATGAAATATTTAGGCTCAGTTTGGAAAGAGTACAAATACAAATATGTACTGTACAAATACATACAAAATAAACAAAACACAAGTTTTTACACTCTACATATTTGTATTTATACTCCTTCCAAACTAAACCTTGGGGATAAAGTAGTCGCATCAACATGCAAATTCAACGATCAAGAAGCTTGTCTCTAATTAATTGCTTCACTCATACAAACTGATAAGATACCTAGTTCAGCCAAAACTTTTGGACAAATATGGTCAGTGCAAAACCTTTTATACGGTATTTATAAATCTACTATTTGCGCTGTATATATTTCTATTTGTACTCTTCCCGAATGTAACCGAAGATACATGGAACAACTGTTTTGTCGGACTACTATTCCCATTTATATGATGTTTGAGCACATCATAACTCATAAAGCCACTTGGAAGGAATCAGCTTTATTTTTAAAATTTATTTGTGGTCCATTGTTCAACAACACGTTAGTGAATTTGTTTTCATCTCTCATGAGCAACAATAAAACTAGCAATCGTACTACAAACAAGAGACATAAGAATATAGCAGGATTTCCTGCAATGTCTATGCTCTCAGGCTCTGTTTTCTGTGCATCCGAACTGGATGCAATATTTACACCCAGTTTAGATTTGTATGTGCTTGACGGTGCAAGTTTTGTGACAGAAAAACTGAATGCAAAATTGCAGCACCTCTCTCCTACCTTCATTCTGTCTCATATAAAGTGGGGATGATATCATTTTACATCACATTTTACTCCCAAACAACCATCTTTCTACATTCATTTTTTCTCACCGGGTGGTGGCCAGTTGGGAAGAAAAAAAACATTCATTTTCTCATATAAAGTGGGGACCACATCATTTTCTAATTTCACAACTTTCAAACAAACGAAAACAGAAACAAGAAAAAATTTGCCTTTGTTTTTATCTTAATAAGATAAGTTGAAGAATCGTTCATGCAACTCTTGCAATGTCAATGGTGAGAAAACCTACAGATTAAGTTTTTGAAAAGGGTAGATAAACTTTTGAAGTCTGTGAATGTATCAATGTCATACAAGTCTGCTTCATCTATACAACAGAACATTCTCTCTTTCTTTCTCTGTTCACATTAAACATTCTCCATTCAGTGATTCAGTCCCTGTGAAATTTTGATAAAGCAATTTAGGGGTCCCATACCATCCGAGTTCAGAAACATCACCTATTGATTCTGTATTCTCAGAGAATTCTAACAATGTTGTGATGGTCTAAATCTGGCAAGGATGTCCTGATTTCACTGCTGTGGTACCAGATCTCATTTGAGTCTCCAGTTCAGACAAGCAGTGCACTCGAATGCTAAACTGCATCAAATGGAACACTCAACTTTGAAAGATCCTTGCAGATTGCCTCCAATCATATGTTATGATGTAAAGCCATTCTGTGAATTATCCTGGTTTAACCCAAAAAATTTGTCTATTTATGCATTATGTTCTATGCCTTTTTGGTATAGAGGACAAGCGGAGTGATTCTCTGGTTGCTACAGCTCTGGGTTAAAAAAGAAAAAAGTAATGAGTGGGGTACAATAAAAATACCTTGAATATCAACAGTAGTAGTTTGAAATGATACCTGCAAGCTATATGGATACATTCCCTATCTAAAAGACCGATTGGGTGTCCTCTGTGATCTTCAACTATTTCTGAGACAACTGGTAGTTGGCTTATACCATGTCTAGCCATGATCCTTTGTGCAGATACGAGATTCATGTCTGGTGTTACTGTCCATGGTACTGAACATTTTTCACAATTCGAGTGGCACATTTCAGAAACTTGAAGTTTCTGTACCTGCAAACAAAAAGTTAATAAGAAAACAGCTAAAGATACACACTCGCATAAAAGGCTGGAATTTATAGTTCAAACCTGCATTCAGAGTCAGCTCCTACACTTGGAACAATTAACTTGTCAACCATAGCCTCTCTCAAAGAACCTAATAATATATTCAGAAATTTGGATTTGTTCTGTTGATTGCAGTGTAAAGCATTTGGTAATAATATACGAGAGAAACCAAAGTGAAAGAAAGGAAGGAGAAGAGAGTATAGTAGAAGGATGAAAAGTTTGTACAAGAACAAGCAAAACAAGAGCATTAAATAGAAGAGACACCAACAGTAATTGAAGGAAAAAACTTCAATCCTCTCAAAATCCCTTGCCTTGACTTGTCATCTTTACACAACCTCATCTCTTAGTCTCTATCCATCTGTCACCTACTTGTTTTGATATATTTTACAGACAAATTAAAAAGAAATTTCTAAAAGAAGGTCAAATACAAGAAACATGATAAACAATGGTAGAGGTTTACTAAGAAAAAGGGGTTTTAGGAAGAGGAGAGGAGACATGATGGAAGTTGCAAGCCGAGCTTTGGTATAAATTTTACTGGATTTTTAGAGACTTGATGGGGGATTTATATAATTTGTGAATACATGGAGAAGGCAGAATTTGCTAGTCAAAATAGAGGCTTTGGGTGAAGAAAATTTTCATTTAACTAGCAAACATGAAAACAGACAAAAACAGACCAACTGAGACAAACTAAGCAAATACAAACCTAACAAAGCAACCAGCAAGACAAAGAGTCACCAGAAAAACATAAAACTAGAAAAAAAAAAAAAAAACGTAACCAACTTAAAACACAGAGGATCTAAGTTTGAAGAAGAAAGAAGCCACCCCAAGGTTTGGCCTAAAAATACATTTGGTTTCAAGTAGGGGTGGACATGAACCAAGCTTTTCACAAGCTATTCAAGCTTGGCTTGTGAAAAACTTGCAAAGATTATATTATATATAATATTTTTAATTTGTTATATGTATAATAATAAATAATTATTTATATGTATAAATTTTTATATTTATAATCTTTTATATGTACAGTTTTTTATTTTTTATATGAGGCTTGGATCATTGTCGAGGTCGAGCAAAGCTGAGCTTGAACATACAAGCTTTTGAGTTGAGCCGAATTTGAACTCGTGTTTCTAGCTTGAATTGAGCTTGAGCTCAAACTCGAGCCTCATGTTTTTCTTCCAAACTGAACTCAAATAGCTAGATATTCAGCTTAGCTCGACTTGAATTCATCCATAGTTCCATAAACCTCTCCTACAAGACTCATGAGCTGCAAGCTTTCTTTGTTCTCAACAGTGACAAAGTATCCTCAACAGGGTATTTTTCTATGAAGGGTTTCTCCCAAATCAAATAATGCAATGGGTATAGGTTGTCGTTTTCAAAAAATGTAAGGATATTTGAAGAAAAAAATTCATAAAAACATAGGTCCAGATAAGGAGAAATAAAAAAGGAACATTGACTCCTTATTTGACAAAACCTCCTTTTTTGTCCATATAAGGAAAAAGAAACGAATGCTCAACAAATGTATCCAGACAAACTTTTCTCCTCTCTAACTGGAAAGGTTGAAAAGTCCTTAAAAACTGTAGTACCTAATGGACCTTCTCCTAGGCTTCAATAATGATGCAGGGAAGGGAAAGGTATGCAGTTTGAAGTAGTCTTTGTATGGACTTAGTAGTCTCCTATAGATTGGTTTGACCACTTCAGCTTCAGAGGTGCATTGGTGAGAGTTGGGTTTCTCCAAGCACAATTAGACCAGACCTTATTTATTAATTGACCTAACTGTCTAGGTAGATGATATTGTTGTGACAAGGGGCCATTACTTGGTGTAATGGTTATATCAAAGGATCAAAATCTTGATACATATCGGGCCATATCAACTGATACGTATTGTATCGGGGCCTTCCTGATATGCCCCTACAGGGGGTGTTTCGGGTCAGCAAGTAGTTCAGGGGGTAGACTTGCCTTAAACTGGCCCCTCTGATCCAGATTTGAAAAAAAGATAAAAAAAAAACAAAGAAAACAGCACCGATACAGTATTGATACTTTGAACCTTGGTTATATCTTGGACTGGAAAGCATGAAACCGGTGGTTTGAGTCTGAGAGTGGTCACTTTGTGCCAAAATAATGCCAAAGGTTAGGACCGTATCCATTCTATCCCTCCCAAGAACACAGATAGCTGGGAGTTTGGGACCAACATTGGGTAATGGCCTTGTTTGTATGATATTGTTGTGACAGGAAATTACTTGGTTGAAATTGAAAAGATAAAATCCCTCCTCAATAATGAGTTTGAGGTTGAAGATATTGGAGAATTGAGATATTTTTGAGGGATTGAAGTAGCTCAATCTAGACATGACATATTTATTTCCTAGAGAAGTGCTTAAAAAGGAAATTAGGGGTTAAACTTAAACTTATGGATACACCTACTGATCCCAATCACAAGTTGTTAGCTATAGATAGTCATTGGTTAGAAGATTGTTATACTTGTGTATGTGACTTCACCAGACATTTCATATGTAGTGAGTGTGCTCGGGATGTTCATCTAGTTGCTGTAGAGAATATTTGAGCTTACTTTAAGGGTTATCCTAGTAGATATATTTTGCTTGGTGCACTATAGTACTTCCCAGAACCATCTCTCAATGGCTCAAATATTTTCCATACTTATCAAATTCTGCTTTTGCAGCTTCAAGGCTTTTGGTGATGGATAGTTCTGCTGCACAATAGGGGAGTTCTGCTCATCTATAGAAGTGGTAGCCACATAGACATCCCCCCCCAAGGTTTTCCCACCATTGTCAATCTTGAATTTACCTAGTTTCAGGTGTGGATGTAACTTTCAACATGTATTCTTAGGCCCCATTTGGTTCATGGGAATAGGGGTATAGAACCGGAATCGGAATCCCATTCCCATTCCTAGTGGAATGGGATTCCCCCATTCGAGGGATGGCCATTCCCTCCTCCTCCCTTGGGAATGAAATCCCATTCCTGGTGATTCCAATTCTCATTCCTGTCTGAACCAAACAGACTATGGGAATAGACCATTCTGTTTCTGATTCCAACTGCAAACCAAATGGAACCTTAGTGTATTTCGGTTTCTTGCAATATTCACACACACTACGTCCTTCTCTGTCTTCTATACTTCTTTCATTGGGCACACTTGAGGTTTTAGATCTCACACTTACATGAGCTGAATGGTCAATAAAAGAGGGCTGCAACATCACACATCTCCTACTTTTTTCACTAAGAACTAAGGAGTCTGTCTTGTAATATCATAGTTTGCATTCTGTCCCATCAGAAACTCAAATATACTATTTGTTCAGAGTCTTTCTGTATAAGGCAGCATCCTTGGTGTTTTTCCACTCCAAGTTCTCCAATTGATCTAACTCCTGCCAGTAGCACCATAATTTTCAAGGCACCAAGTTAAGGCTAGGCGACAGAGGGGCGCCTTGTCACCTAGTCACCTAGGTGGGCACCTAGGCATCACATAGGCGATGGATTTTTTTAAGTAAAAAACATGTATCCTAGGGTAGTTCCCTAGGTTCCATAATCATATTTCCTTAATAAATATCCATAATTTTCATAAGAAAAGTATGAACTTTATGAAGTATAGAAAATCAACATATTCATGAGAAGAAAAAGAAGAAAGAAAGGAAAATTCAAAAAATATAGGGGCTGAACCCCCTATTTCTTTTATAGAAAAAGAAGAAGAAGAAGAAATTAGTATAAACACACAAAATTAGTAAAGAAAAAGAAGAAAATGTGTTGATTGGACAACATTTTAAGTTCTTCCTTACTTGTTGGTTCAGGTTTTGAAGTCTTTGAGGGTTCAATACAGCATTTAGAAATGTTTGTGTTGATTAAACCCTAACAAATAAGAAAATAATAAAAAGAAATTAGTATATAAACACAAAATGAATATTTTAGTTTAAAAATGTATATTTCATAATTATAACCTAAAAAAATTAAGAATATAAAAGTTTTTTATAACACACTATAGAAAACTGCTTGGTGATTAGGCGAGGCGAGCCTCCAAGGGTGCCTTGTTGCCTTGACAACTATGAGTAGCACTTCAACATAGAGAAATAAAATGCAGAAGCTTCTCCCTCTGCTTCAGATTGTTGATTTTTCCTTTTATTTGGTAAGCTCTAGGCACCTTCATGCCTTTGGAGTAGGTTTCAACCACACTTTCCCATATTTAATTTGCTGTTTTCATTCACATGAAGTTGTGGCTGATATGTGGCTTCATTGAATTCACAAGCCATGAGATGACCAAATAATTTTCTTGCATCCACTTAGAATGTCAAAAATCAGATTTCTTTGGTTTGGGAAGATCTCCAGTAACATACCCTAACTTTCCCCTACCAACAAGATAAATACAAATGGATTGGAATTGCTCTAAGTAGTTGTTCCTGCCAACTTTACAGTGGTAATCGAGCCCAAGGTCTGATCAATTGATCCCTCTGAAAGCATTCTGGCATTCAAGACTTGCTTTAAATCTGTCCTTAAACACCTGAACCAAAGCTGGGAAAAGGCAAACATATGGTGCTGCAAGGTATGATCAATTGATCCCTCTGAAATCATTTTGGCATCTAAGACTTGCTTTAAATCTGTCCCCAATGACTCCAGGTCTGGGTAAGTAATAACACCTTTTCTGAACCAAAAAGAATATTACTTAACAACAGGCAGGTCTGCAGAGGTAAAAAAAAAAAAAAACACCTGAACCAATGCTGGAAAAAGGCAAAAAAAATGGTGCCACAGCCAATAGACACTCTTGGAAAACAAAACGGATTGCTTCTGTTCCCTCCTTAGACTCTAACAGGTCAAACCAAGTCTAAATGGGGCAATCAAACACAAGAAACCAACCTCCATTATCCACGACCAGAAAATCTCTGGTTTTCTTTGGTTCTGGGAAGAAATCTCTTGAGCTCTCTAGGCTTCAAAGCTGGGACTGAAACATCTCCAAAATCCTTCTTCCAACCAGGCAATCCAAACTATACTTGAACAGCAACTCACAGATCCATAGACCCTGCTGATAGAGCAATGTATGGGTTATGCACTAGAGAAAGAGGAGAAAATTCTACTCTGATACCAACTTTTAAAGTCTGTTCATTTTGTTTGGTAAATCTGGTCAGATTAGAATTTCAAAGAATAAAAGAGAAAGAAAACTGGAAAAAAACATTGTAAGAAGACAGAATAACAGAGGAAGAATGAGGGAAAAAGGAGAGAATGTGAGGAGAATCTGTCTAGAGCAGTATGAACAGCCCTATTCTTTATATTTATATGGTGTGTAGAATTACAAGAATGCCCTGCCGCCTACTAGAGTATATACAACTTAAACATAAGAATCAGAAACATAAACTATGACATGTCAGCATATGAAATAGGAACAAAAAAATAAACTTCTCCACACCCTCATTGCTGTTTTCTTTGCTGTTTTTACTATTTTTTATGCTTTATTATGTTTCCAATGCCTAGGGAGGGTTACTTGTCATTTTACACAATTTGTACTAAATATAAATAGAGAAGTTAAGTATATGCATCCCAAGACAATTGTTTCCTCCTAACTGACTTTAAGTACATGCCAAGTCATCATAAGCTATATCTTTTTGGTCCTAATACATATTGAACCCATCCAATCTACTGTCATCAGGTGGTAAAATATATGTGTAAAAAAATTCCAGAATTTTCAATCTTGTTCCAATTGCTATTAGAACAAATTCCTGTGTACCCAGAACTTTGCTACGGATCAGGTGTAAGGTGACTGACCTGGCATGAGTTAACCCTTGAAACCCTATAATCTTAACTCCCAAACTGGATTTTATTCCTCAGAAAATATACATACACACCAAAAAAGGGAAAAAATCACTGTGTACTTCCATATTCGGCCTTCTACCACATAGTGAAGTTTTTCCAAACCCATGGAATGCCTAATGTACAGCATTTTGACATCAGCACCTATGCTGTGTGTAGATCAGAACAAAAGAGAAGATCCAGATGGATCTATTACCAAGTCGAAAACACGATTAAGGTTTTGAAGTAGAAGAAAAGAAGAATGAAGAGAATCTTTGGAAAGAGAGTCAATCTACAAAGGTGCTCTGTCACTTGTTTTGTTAAATAAAGTAATAAGAGTGACAAATTACAATGGTGCACATATAGATACAATACAACCAGACAGCCATGATATCATAGGACAACCTTCATCACTCAACATACATAAAAAGGGGTATGGGGGGAATCCTGTAAAACCAAGGGCAAGAGTTTTCTCTTTGCTTCTGTACATGCCATATTCTTACTATTGACTAACTTTAATAAAGACACTTCTATTCGAGTAGCCTGTGTCTTTTGTGCAAGAAGGGTGAAGAGGATGTTTATCATTTCTTTCCTCATTGTAAGGTGGCTGAGTTCATTTTGGCTTATTTCTTCACCATTTTCATCCATTACATTCATTATAGCTACATGAGATTTTCCCTTTTTCCTGGTGAAAAGAAAGTCAAGATTTTACTGTAGTTCCATTTGCACTTGTTGGACCATTTGGAAAGGGAGGAAATAGGCATATGTTTGAAGATAAATATGTTCATTTTTCTTTTGGTGTCAGAATCACTTTTGGTGCATCCTGAATTTAAAATCTTAGCAGAGAGGCTCCATAGTCCATTATATTCCATCATGTTTTCTGTTTTCCCTAGATTAGTTATGAATTATGATCTGGTTGTTTCATTTTTCTTTTCCAAATATATTTTGGTCAACTAGGTCAAAATCACCAAGTTTTAAGTTGCTTAATACCAAAGTGAAAACAGAAGAATAGTTTTTGAGTTTATTTTCAGTCTCTAGATATTAGATACAGGGTGTTTACCTCAGATTGTGCACTTCCATCTTTAACTAATTTGCTGAACTCTTGAATTTGGTCAAGTGTCAAGAAACCTATTAGCAAGTTGTCATTATCAACTATCACTGCACAAGACTGTTTCTCTGCAAGCATGAGAGCCACTGCCTCTGTTAACAAGGTATTCATCAGGACAGTCACAAATCTTGTTCGCATGGCTTGTGACACAGAGATCCTTTCCTCCAAGTCCTTGAATTCAGTAGAGGAATCGTCTACACAGAGTGAACTCTCAAGTTCACACAGCTCAGTTGCATGAGTTACTCCTGTTGCAAGGACACTACTTGAAGATAACCCGCTTAAGTTAGAGGGTGATCTCACACTGCAATTTCCTTTAACAGAGAACATTTTATCTCCAATATCCCTTTTCCTTGTCTTTCCAGATGTAATCCATGAAGACAACCCAACAGCTCCTAGGAGGGGTAGAACTATACGATAGTCCTGTGTCAGTTCAAACAGAAGCAGGACTGCAGTAAGAGGTACCTGACAGACTCCTGCAAGAGTAGCAGCCATACCCACCTGCATATAGAAGTTTTATTAAAAGTAAATCATATTGCAATAAAGTTATAAAGATACCCATGCATCCTATAAATTTACAGTTAAAGTTGTAGAGAATCTAGAGATTTTTTTTCCTATTTTATTGGTGGGGGTTGAATGACAAGATGCTGGTGCAGACTGACTACCCAAAAGGCCACTAGTCTATAATAGTTCTTTATTATGCAACGTGTTTTTTTATTATGCAATCAGTGGGTAATTATTATTGTTATCAAGGGGAGGTGTTCCAAGTGCAATATAAGGTTGTGTTATCTTCAATCTAGCATTGCTGGTATGGGAGACTAGGAATTTTGGGTGTGAACTACTACAGCCGATTGCTGCACATGTGGTGATCATTCCATCATCTTGAGGTATGTTTAGACTTTGTTTTGGGTCTGAAATGCACTAGCCCAAATCCCATGTTTGATCCCTATAGGAAAAGTTGTTTCCCCTTGGTGAAAGTTTTCAGCTGTAGAGACAGTGAAATCTAGCCGTAGGGCTATTTTTGTACTTTTACTTTTCTTTGCTGTATATCTATTCTTTGTATTATCTCTCTCCTGTACATTAAGGGCAAATCTGTCCTTTTACAAATTCATATAAATATATCTTTTAGGGTGTCGACTGACACAGTGTGTCACACCCACCATTCGGCTATTCTCTCTCTGTCTGTCTCTCTCTTTCTCTGACTTTCGAACTGACTCTGACATGGTATCAGAGCAGGTCATGACCTGAACTTCACTCAACACCTCGGCTACTACTGATTCAAGAACTCCATAACAGTATTTGGAAGTTCTTGAGTATCTTCTTTTGTTCTCTTCTTGGATCGGCTACAGATCTGAACTCTACAGATCTGTTTTCTGGACTGTTGTGCCACTGGGTTCAATCTTTTTTTATATCTCCCTATAGAGACATCGGATCAGCCTGAAATTTTAGATCTGGTGTCACCCAGAGCAGATCTATTGAACCTCTTTGGTTTAGTTTGGATCGGTTTCGTCTTTGAGGGGTTTTGATCCACTTTTCAGTTCAGCAGAACTCTACAGTTGCCTTTTTTGGACATCAGCCGAAAGGTATTCTTCTTTTCTTCTCTAGTTCGAATTTCTTTTGGTTTCTGGAAGTGTGTGTTGTTGCTCTTTGTCATTTGATGGCATTAGAAAGGATGGATGTTCTTCCTATTAAGTTCAACGGTATGAACTACGCACTATGGAAGTTCAATTTTCAGTTCCATGTCGAAGCTAAGGGTCTTTGGGGGTACTTAGATGAATCTGTGTCTAAACCTAATGACTCTGACATCAAGAGACTTAATCAGTGGAAGATCGACAATGCATAAATTATGTCATGGATTCTAGGCTCAGTCGAAACTGATATTGCTATCCCTATGAGAGGGTACAGAACAGCCTATGAGATGTTTCAATACCTTGAGAAAGTTTATCAGTAGTCAAATACCTCTAGACAATATCAGATAGAGTTTGACATTTTTCTTACTATCAGGGAGATAGAAAGGTCCAGGAGTACCATGCCAGGTTCATTAACTTTTGGACACAATATGAGTTAGTTCACATGGGAGATGATCCTTCAGACTGTTGTGTTTGTTAGACAGTTTTGTATGCCCTTAGCTTCAATCAGAATGATGTACTTTATGAGTTTATTGTAAATGAATAAA